TAAGTTAAGTATCTATGTTTCAACCAAAGTCTTTTCATTATTTCTGATGTAGTAAATGGATTTTCCTGATGTTGGAGGAAAATTAGAATTATTTAATCCTCACCTCTTTTCATATAGGCTCAGAGAGGTTAAGACCTAAAGTTACACAGCAAATCATACAAAAGGCCTCCCACAAAAGGGCATGATTGCTTCAGGGGAGCGTAGTGTTAATAGCTTGCATTTCCTGTCAGAATAGTTGTATCTCCGTCAGTTAAATAAAGAGCTAGATTTATCATAAAAATATGACTTACACAATAGTATCACCACACCAAGTTTTTGAAAACCTGAGAGTCAGAGAAAGATCACTTGTGAGAATACCACCTGTAATTCCACATGTGGCCTTGTCTCGCTGGAACTCTTCAGTAACCAAGATCATCGCAACACAGTATTTATGTTGGTTTTCATTAGACCTCACTCCTTAAAAAAAAAACAAACTAGTAGTCTTTTTTACAATATTGTTTTCTGAAAGTGAGCATTATCTAGCTTAATAATTCCTGAACTTATTCTGATATGTTAAATCCTGGTCGTTTTTGCATTCTGAAGGTAAGTTAGCACCTAGCACTTTATAACAAAAATGTACTAACCTCCAGCATGCATTTAACACTTTTAGGGACTTCTTTTATCATAATGAGAATCTTAGTTTCCAAACATTTCTTTTGGTTACCTAAAAATGTGACGATTAATGCAGTGGAAAAGTAAGTATATTTTAAGTCATAGTCAGAATTCTCTATTTTGTTTTTTATTTAAATGACAAAGTTCGACTGGTTGGTCCATGAAGAATGTAAGCTTGAGTATTTATATTATTATAATTAGATTCATTTCTATATCAAAAAAATAGAATCAGTAAATATTTATGACAGATACTCATGATGATTGTTTTTGATCTACCTGTATATTTGTAATATTATAACACTAATTATATGGTAGTTTGATTTCACTGAAGCTTGGAATAAATATTCTTTAAGACATAGCTAAGGGCTAATAGAAAATTCAGAAGGGATTTATTTGATTATTATAATAAGTAACTGAATCTGGAATATATAACCTGATAAATTCTCACTAATTGCAGAAATGTGAGGCATTAGTATTATTTATTTTTTAAATTTATTTTCCTAAATCTTATCTTCTTTAAATAACTCTCCTCTCAAAAAATCCATAACTTATCTTACCCAAAATTGGACAGAAATGTTCTAGAGAACAGGATCATTCTAGGAATATTGCTTTTATATTTTATTTAATTTTTATTGAGCATAATTGATTGTACATATTTGGGGGGTGCAGTGTTGACTATCATCATGTGTGTGCTTTTATATTTTAAAAACTGAATCATCCCCAGACACCTAGACTATTACCTCCTTTTTCTTCCTCCTCATCCCCCAGCTAATTAAGACATAATTACCCATGGGGCTTTATGAAAATGAGTTACGATGAAATTCATAACCTCTTTAAAATTTGTCAAGGTTCACTGACTTCTGGGGAATAGAGTTTTGCACTATTTTCTACAATATTGGTTATATAATAGTGAAAAGTCTTTATCTTGCTTTGATGCTAGATCTGCCTGGGCATTTTTTCCCCATTATTTGATCAGGACAGAAAGTAAGTGACAACAGTACAGAGTACTTTTAAAATAATTTGACCTTCACCATATACCCTTCAAAATGTGAATGGACAATTGGACTTTGTGCTTCTAATTGTCTACAGATGTTCTGTCCTGTAAGTCAGAAGGACAAACTTGTTTTTATCATTATGTAAAGTTTCTTTCTTTCTTTCTTTCTTTCTTTTTTTTTTTTTTTTAAGTAAATCGCAGAAGGACAAACTTGTTTTTATCATTATGTAAAGTTTCTTTCTTTCTTTCTTTCTTTCTTTCTTTTTTTTTTTTTTTTTTAAGTAAATCGGGCAACTGTTTTCCCTGCTTGTAAATAAGTACTTAAATATAGCTGGGGGGAGTTGATTTTCTTTGGTAAAACCACTATGTTAGAAATATATGTTGGAAAAAAATTACCTTATATTTAGGGAAACAGCATGCCTTGGTTTCATGGCTAACCCAGGGATGATCAGCAAAGAGCTAGGTTAACATTTCACAATAAAAAATGGAATAAGGCTGAGTTTCATCTCAGGAGATTCCACACTTGAAAATGCTGCCTAAATGTATTGGTTATCTTTTTGCTTCCACCTGGCCCTTTCCTTATTTTTTAAGAAGAAAGATTTTTCTGAAAAATTATGTCCTTGAAATTTCTGAAAATTGTTTCACATTGAAAATCTGTGATTTCTATGATCTGCAAAAGCGTCTTTCTTGTGCTGATAATTATGCTTATAAAAACTTATTTTAGATGCTAATAACATATGTCTGTCTACGGATGGAAAATAATTCCCAGTAATTCTTCCCCACAACCCCACCTCCACCCACCAACAACATCAACAAAGCAACTGTGCATGATTATGAGTCCAGTAGAATGATTTGATTTCATGTATTTCTAGGGCTTACCTGTGTACCATTTGCATGAGGGCTCTTTTAAAATAGGATGCAATGGGCCTCTTGGGTATTCGACAGTTAGATAAGGCAAAGAAAGATAAAGCTTCCACTGAGAGGATTTGTTTGTTGACCTCTGTGACTGACGGGATGCACAGTAATTGGGAAAAGATGGAATTTCAGTGTTCATTTCTCGTATGTGGAAATATATCCAGAAAGTCAGAGTGATTTGTGACTCAGCAAGGGGCTGAGATGATGGGACAAATCTCTGCACCTCCTAATTCTGTAATTAGTTCCTTAGACTTTTCGGTCTCTGCCGATATGCTTGTGGAAGGTTTTTTTGTTTTGTTTTTGTTTTAAACACCGGGGATGTTTTTCTTAAAATCGTGTGTGACTTTTCTGGGCCAGGGTTGATGTAGCAACAGCAGCTTGGGGGTGCTGCCACTGGACACCTGGTGTTCTTCACCCCTTGCCCCACAGGCAGCCATCAGACAGCCGAGTACAGAAAAGCCACGATGGTGAGGACACTGCGTACACTCAGCCTGCATAGATCTCAGCTTTGTTCCCTTTCATCAGGAGAGGTGTTGTGGCTCTTCATCCAGTGGTATCCATTGAGCCCCCTCTTGACCATGACAGGTGGGCAGGTCACCTGAGGATTTTTAGAGGAGGTGAGGTTAGAGGGCAGCGATTCACTTCCTGTGGATCGCTCTGGTCCAACACAGAGCCCAGGGGGCTTCAGAAGATCTGTCAGTGTGTTCATCTCATCTGAATGAAGAAGTAGATTTCTAAAATGATACTTTGTTGCCTTCTAAGGTGAAAGGGGGAAATTTTTGTAGGTTCAAAAGTGAAGTGGAATAGTTAGCGACTTGACCTCACATTCATAGCCCAAATATATCTTTGGTTCCATGATACCAAGAGGGGCCTGCACGGTATTTAGGTATGTATGTCGGAGCATCCTAGGGTCCCAGCCATGAAGCAGAAGGAACCACAGTATTATGGAGTGCCAATATAGATGGCTTTTGGAAGTTTCATCCAACGTTTATTGATCCCTCACTTTATACCTGGTACTCTGCTAGGCACCAAGAGGGTGGAGTGGATAAGCCGGGGTCCCTCCCACCTAGGAGCACACAGGCTTAAAGGGGAAAGCAAACATGTGAGCAAATGAATTACAGTGACACACCATCTACAGGACCACAAAGAAAAAGTGGTCAGTCTCCCTGGGTGTTGGATCAGAGTGGGAAAGGTGGGGGAAGCCCCAGGAAAGGTTTCAAAGAGGAGGTTGAGACTTGAATTAAGTTTTCAAAGAAGAGTGGGTGGTACAAGAGGATAGTATCAGGGATGGCATATCAGGCAGGGAAAGAGCCTGAACAGGTTAAGGGACTGTGAAACAGCCTGGCACATACTGAGAGCTGCAAGTCACAATCACATGGCTTGAGTGTAGGGTGCAAGGGAGGACATTTAGAGAAATGGCGCTGAAGGAATCGACAGACCTCATCAGAGATGCTGGGACTTGCTGCCAAGGTTGGACTTTATTCTCCAGTTCCTGAGGAGCCCCTGCAAGTGTTTAAGCTGGTGAACCACATAGCTCTATGAAGGGAGGATCTGAGGAGGAGACTGAGGTGTGGAAACCAAGCAGGAGCCCATCACAGTGTCCAGCTGAGAGTTGAAGCTGGTCTAGACTAAAGGAGTAGCTTGGGGAGGTGGTCGGGGGGAGAGCAGGGCACAGCTATTAGAACCAAGTGGAAGATTGGTTTAGGGGTGATCTTAAGGATGTGTTAAACTGTAAATGTCATGGCCTTCATTTTGCATGTGTCAGGAGGTGCTTCCAATCAAGGATTAATAGAGTGTTAGCCTTCCAAAGCAAAGACAAAACCCGTATACCCCACAGTTATGCTTATAAAATATGTGGAAAGGTGAATGGCTACAAGGTTTCCAGCCATGTGGTAAGAACTCCATTTTAAATAAATAGTGCAACCAAGCAGGGCACTGATATTCATAGTTTTTCACTGTAAATGTGGGAGTTTGGTAAAGTAGGATACATCGCAATCTTAACCACTGTGGGATAGTGGCTTAACAGTGGGCTGCGAACTCTCCTAGTTCCTAGTGTGAGCCCTGGCACTTCTGGGCAACTGGCTGAACTTTTCTGAGCCTCATTTTTCTGATCGGTAAATATTAGTGTAGTAATGTTGGCCTCATGTGTTTGTTGTGAAAATTAAAAGTGATAGTGGCAAGCCAGAGGCTGGCAAAGCAGCCACCGAGTGTTCCCCGCGTCCTTTTTTTCCTTCTTTTTCTCTCCTCACAGGGTGTTTGGAATTTGGAACTTTCTTTTGCTTCTCTGTTCAGAGCCTTACTTGCTGGAGACCTAGAGACCAGTATAGAAGTGTACTTGTGTGGTTGTTCAAATATTTAAGTTCCTTAAGGAGATTTCACATAAAATGTTTGATTTCCCAGAAAAAGGCATTTATTATTTCTCTCTCTGCTTTTGATACAGGATGTGAGCTGCAACGAGATCACAGCGTTGCCTCAGCAAATAGGTCAATTGAAATCTCTACGAGAACTGAATGTCAGAAGAAATTACCTTAAAGTTTTACCACAAGGTAAAAATGAGGGGAAAATGAAGAAAATGAGAGACTTTTATGATCTTTTTGGTTTACTTTTGTGAAGAGGGTAGATCTTGTCATGTGTGTATGCCTATTCATATTAATTATAAATTGAATTTTACATACACATGACAAAAGTGAAGTCCAAGGTGTAATTTTAATTAAAGTCTATAGCAATAAAATGGTGTGTGTGTGTGTGTGTGTGTGTGTGTGTGTGTGTGTGTGTGTGTGTGTGGTGTTGGGGGAGGGTTATTAGTCTGCTAGGGCTGCTCTAACAAAGAACCACAGACTGGGTGCCTTTAATAACAGAAATTTACTTTCTCACAATTTTGGAGGCTGGAAGCCTGAGATCACAGCGCCGACAGGGCTGGTTCCTTCTGAAGCCTCTCCCCTTGGCGTATAGATGGCCATCTCCTCCTCTGTGTGTCTTCAGGTCGTCTTCTCCCTGTGCGAGTCTGTGTCCTAATCTTTCCTTCTTACCAGTTCACCAGTGGATTAGGGCCCACACAAATGACCTCATTTTAACGTAGTTACCTTTTTCAAGACCCTCTCCCCAAGGACAGTCACATTCTGAGGTACCGGGGTTTGGACTCTAAAATATGAATTTGGGGGACATGATCCAGCTCATAACAGGGGGCAACAGGAATACTTTTTGGCATGGCTGTGATGTTCCAGAACATGAAGCCAACAGTTTAGGGAACATGCTTGGTCCTACAGATCCTGGCTCTCAGGATTTCTGGCCTTGGGGATCTGGGAGCCCTGGTTGGGAACCCGTAGTGTCTAGAATCTGTTCTTCTGCTGAGGGTGCTTCCCCTGCTAAAGCGAAACTTGGACTAATGTCCCTGGTAGTTTTGGCACATCTCACGGGTGGTGGTTCCAGAGCCAGCACTGAGACTTAGCTCCTGCCCCCAGCATAAATGCTGAGTCCCTCAGACAGCCCTGCTCTGGCAGCCGTGTACAGTTTGTGGGGGTTCAGGTACCATGAAAACCTTGAAAGCAGCCTTGTAGGTGGTAGTGGATCTGCATTTCATATTTGGGTTTGGACCTGGATCAGGAATGTTTTATCCAAAACGTACTCTGGTTTTCAAAGATCACATTGATTTCCGTTGTTTGTGCTTAAGGACCCTAGACCTAACCAATTTCAAACATATATTGTATCCTCAAAGCAAAAGCGTATATTTGGAAACAGTCAGCATTTGGTTAATTTGACATAATGCAGCAGTTTGTGAGCTGCTTGACTTTTATTATCCTGTTCCTCCATGTTGATCTTTGGCTTGAAGTGCTTCATTATTCAAGGCGAGAAAGTGGAGCTCATGAAAGGGAAAGAACTCCATCACATGTAAAGTGCTTTGCAGACAGGAGGTGCATGTGTCCGCCTGCCATCTTTCACCTTTCTCATGCCGAGTAGCACTGTAAAGGAGTGGAATTAGAAATCTCAGCTAAGATTTATCACTTTATTACTTGGGATGACTTGGTATAAAAGTATTGATTTTTCATTTTGTCATTGTTCTGTCCCATTTTTTGAATGTATGAAACTATTTTTTTTTTTGGTTTAAGCAAATACAAGGGAAAACTCTTATTAAGTAGCAAGTTTGTATGCATATAACCTTTCATGCATTAAAGAAAACTTTTATTTAAATTTAATGGTTAAACTTAAGTTAATCATTGTGAAAGCATCACAAATGATTGAATTCCCGTTTCCAAAAGGAAAAATTAATTTAATCATTTTACAGTTGGCTGTAATGATTTAGAAGTGTGTGGAAAGTGCACCTGCAAAATCTGGGTTTTTATTTCTCTTACCACTCCTTATTCTCTTACCTTAAAAGCATTCCTTTCCCTAAAAATATCAGTTACAAATTGTAATATTAATTACAAATAACAATAACCATAATTATGTTTTCTCAGTTTTGATATTTTAGAATACACTCAAAGCTAAAACTCAAGTTTACTGGAAAAAAATTTTTAAAAATAATATCTTGAATATCAAGCTTCTTTTTGCTTCATTCTGGAGAATTCTATTGACAAAAGAGCATTGATAATGCTTTCAGGCAGTGAATTTAAAGACTTTCTATAGTTACTTATGTGCTTTTCCTTTTTAGATACTCCTCCTCATATGCTTTCAATTTGAGGAGGGAAAAAAGTGCGTGGCCTAATTACCCATATCAGTTCTGTGGTGGTTTTACTACCACGACTGCAATGAGGAGACTGTATATTGTTCTTTCTAGGACTAGAATGAACAGAGGATTAAAATAGCCATTCATTGCCCCTGTTTGCAGTGGAGAGAAGTGGGATTTCTTCTTTTTCTTACTTTCATTCCCTGCTGTGTTCCTTTTGACCTTTTCTGGGCTGGCATTACAGGGTGGTCATTTTCTCTCCCATTTTATTGTTGTGAAACTGTCTAGGTATGGTTTTCCTAAACTACGATGGCAAGTGTGGTCCAAGCTGGAACTAAAAGGAAAAAGTCATTCTAAAACCATTTCTTATTTTATTTACCTGTAAGTTACCTCCTGCTATGAACTCAGACCTCTAGTCTTGCTTCAAAGTTTTCACTTTAAGTGGCAAAGAATTGCTGAAGATCCCGAGTCTGGTTAAATTTTGCCACTGATTCGCCAACCTCCCTTTAGAGAGTAAGTCATCCATCTGGGGGATAGGTGAACATTGCTGGGGTCACAGCAGAGAGGTATTCCCCTTGTCCCACAATCCCCTTGATTCCTAGCTGCTTTAGAAACAAACTGTGAGGTGAGAGAGGATCTTACTTTCCCTTTCATGATTCCACGCTGTCCTCTAGGTTTACCTCATCCTTCTCCCACCTCCTGCAGCTCAAAGCCCCTTTGTCAATGTAGCCACCATGACTAGGCGATGACCGGTGTGGCCTGAGGCAAATTGCTCATCCTGCCAGGGGGGAGGCAGCTGGGTTGGAGCATAGAACTACTTAGGGCAATTTAAGAAATACAGATTCCCTGGCTTCAGGACCAGGGGTCTGTGTTTTTAAAAAAAATCCTTTTCCTGAGTTTCTCTTAATATAGTCCACCTATCATGGACCTGAGTTTGGGACCTGCAGAGCTAGAAGCTCTTCTGCCTCCTTAAGACAAAATAATACATGAAAGCGTGAAAGAAGGAAAGTCTCTTACACTCGCAGAACATGCTGAACTTTGAGAAGAGACTCTGGTTACTAGGCGAGGCTGTGTTGATGGAATCTGAAGGAGCATAGGAGAGTGAAGTGAAAACCCCTGGCAGGGTAGGGGACAGGAAACAACAGTGTCAATTCTTACTCAGGTCCCTGCCTCCGTTCTTCTTGTTTATCTAGTTCTTGCTCCTCTTCCACTTCGGAACTCCTTTAGTATTTTAAAGCACCATATTTCACCTCTTAACAGGTCCCATAACGGCACTGCTGAGGCCCTATTCTGAAATGCACCCTCCACAGCTCACACAGAGATTCAGTGGCTTGCCAGCATCCCCCTAGATGCTTGGCATGGCTCAGCTTCTCTTTGCTGTATGGAATACATTTGACCTCGTTTCTAGCAGCTGCCAATGTCGGTTTGAATGCTTGAAATTACTGAGTGTTTACTGTGCCGCTGGGTGGAGATTTTAAGCTAAATATAATGTTCTGTCTTGTTAGCGGAGCTACAAAAGACTTTTTAAAAGCACTAGAATAAAGCTTCATCAAACCAGAATTACAGGGCCCATCGGAAAATTCTAAATTAGGTAACATTTATTTTTTAAAATGCAGTTGAGAAAAACATGAACATATTTATTGTAACTAGTTCTGGAATTATGCCAGCCCAGATACATTGAATATATAAGAATATTCTGTAATTAGCATATTATGCATGTGCTAGCAAGTGCTACTTGAAAACAGTTTGAAGGTAAAACATAAACATGTCCTGTATGGCTTGGCTTGCATGATTCTTTTGCTGGAGAAAAAAAAAGGGGGGTGTTTTTTAGACAATACATATCATAATTGTCAAGTGTTTCCATCTCTTATCAGAAGTAACAACAATTTACAATTATTGGGCTCCTAATGAAAGATTTTTCCCTCCTTTAGAAAATATACTTTATAATGTATATTATCTATACATACCATATATTCCTAATGCAAAACTTGCTTTTGATTGTGCCAAGTGACATTTATTCTGATAAGCAGAAAATTAATTGTCATATGTTTAGCTATTTAATCTTGTTGCTTTCTGAGGTTTCTTTTTCTCTTTTCTGTTCTTTTAGAACTAGTAGACCTTCCCTTGGTAAAGTTTGACTTTTCCTGCAACAAAGTGCTCGTGATCCCGATTTGTTTTAGAGAGATGAAGCAGCTGCAAGTGTTACTGCTTGAGAATAACCCTCTGCAGTCGCCTCCAGCACAGGTGAGGGTCTTGTAGCGAAGCCCTTGTCCTGTGGGATATGCTATCAATAGTGCTTACCCAGCTCTCCACAGAGCCGGGTTTTTGATTCTCTGCTGAATTAATATTGTAGGAGATATGATCATAAGCAGTCACAGTGTCTAAAAGCATAAACCCTTGGGTGATTCTGGCTACAACAAATTGTCTTCTGCTGCATCAAATCCATTTACCAGCATTTGACTCACTATTCTGATCACTCCAACTCCACAATTATATATTTAATTACTTATCATTTGTACATACAATTGAAACTTTCTCATGGAGTATTTGGCTTCAAAAGAAGAAGTATATTCCTTATTTAAATGCTAGCTGGAGAGCTGGCTGGTTAGTTCACTTTGTTAGAGCCTGTTGCTGATGACACCAAGGTCAGGGGTTCAGATCCCCATACCAGCCAGCTGCCTCCCCCCCCCCAAAAAAATCCTTATAAACGTTAGCTGGAAAAGTTTAAATATCTCAAAATATGATTATTGATTATTTAGAGACAGGGCTCAAGCTCAAATATTAAACTCTGTGAGAACGAAATGAAGTACATATGCTTTCAGATGATTAACCATGTAAATATTTTAAAATTTATTTTCCTTCTAAATAATTTAAGAACTTCTTAAATCTACAATTATTTTTAATCTCTTAATTGCTTTCTTATGGGCTTGAAAATAATTATACTTTTGTCATCTTTTGTAATTGGGATATTACCAGGCCAGTTATTTGATTTTTATACTTCTTACCCTAATACTTAAATACAATTCTGTTAGAAATTTGTAGTTTAATTCAAGAAAAATTAGAAATTGCGGGCCAACTCCATGGCTCACTTGCGAGAGTGTGGCGCTGGGAGTGCCGAGGCCGCGGGTTCAGATCCTATATAGGGATGGCCGGTGCGCTCACTGGCTGACCGTGGTGCGGGTGACACCAAGCCAAGGGTTACGATCCCCTTACCGGTCACAAAAAAAAAAAAGACTCCATGGCTCACTTGGGAGAGTGTGGCGCTGGGAGTGCCGAGGCCGCGGGTTCAGATCCTATATAGGGATGGCCGGTGCGCTTACTGGCTGACCGTGGTGCGGGCGACACCAAGCCAAGGGTTACGATCCCCTTACCGGTCACAAAAAAAAAAAAAAGAAAAAAGAAATTGCTAGAGCATCGTTTTAACGACAAAGTAGAATTTGGAAGAAATGATTCCCCTAATTTGTATATATTTTGGAGAGGTCAAATTTAGTGTGCTTTGTTTGGGTGTTACTTAAAATGAAATTGTGAAAATTAAAATATATAGAGCCAGATATCTGGAATTTACATTTTGCTTCAACATTGGATAAAAAATATGTGTTGTTAATTTTTCCATAGATTTGCACAAAGGGAAAAGTGCACATATTTAAGTATTTGAGCATACAAGCATGCCAGATTAAGACAACTGACTCTCTTTACCTCCACACCATGGAGAGGCCACATTTACACCAGCACGTGGAAGACAGGTGAGTCGACGCCGTCACTCAAAGCCCCCGTTTAGAATTTGCTTAGGCCAAGGCCCTCCTGGTAACTAACTTCAAAAATCTATTTGCTTCACTCAGCCAATTCAAATTTAGAACTTGGAGTTTGAGAAAATGTTGGAATAAGAGAGAGAAAATGAATGCTGTTGAGATCATCATGGCATCTCTCAAATCTTATCTACCCTCTCCTAATCAATAATCAATCCTTGCTGAAGATGTGTGTGTCTGTATAAATAAGAACTGTGATATAAATATGGGTATTTTTTACTTGTCAGAATAACTGTATCTAGCTCAGTCATGACTTTCAACAGTTACTAATTTTTAATTTGCCTCCAGAACATTGTTAAAACTACTGCCTTTATTTCTTAATTGTCTTTTAAAAATGCTGTGTGCATAGTTTTTTGCCACTTCCTGTTTTGAATGGAAGTGTTAGAATCTTTTCATATGTCCTTGGGCTTTTTGTGGCATAAATCAGGCGTTGAGCTTCCAGAAAACAAAATTCCCACACTGAACACACATAGAAATGCAGGTTCTTTTTGAGAAGTCTTCACTGCAGAAATCTTTTCCTTCACCTTTTGCTAAACAAGTTGACTTAAAATTTCAGACTACCCTAATGGTACTTTCATATAATGCTTAAAATATGTATCCATTATTTTATCTTTGTAAAGATACTATTAAATTTAATAACTGGATAAAAGTTTACAAAATTATTGAAAGAAACCATACTTCCTAACATGAGGTAAAAGCAATTATGTAGTATATTTCTTTTTTATATGCAAGAATAAGTAAAATAAGAAAATTGCTAACTGTTTTCAAAAAAACAATTTGATGTCTAACAGCAAGCAGGTCACTTGGTTAGAGTATAAATTAATGAAACCCTGAACACAAAGAATTAATCTTGTACTGTATTTAGACAGTATAAGTGTCTGATTTTCATTAGGCCTATGTTTTAGTATTCTTTAATACTGGACTAATTTGTTGCCTTATGATGATAAAAATTTGTGGAGCAAAGTCACTATTAGAATATAAATTGATATATCCTAATGTGAACTTTCTAATTTTAATTTTTTCTAAATGAATTCAATCTTGATGAAATCGGTCTCAGCAAGAAGGATTCTGATTCAGGAGTTGGAAGTGATAATGGAGATAAGCGATTGTCTGCCACCGAGGTAAAGTTAGTGATCAGAGTTTTTTCCTTCTGTCTTTCTAGATATATCTGCCAGTGTTCATTGAACTCTTTCTGGTAAAGGGCATTGATACATGTGGATGAGAATATGTGATAATGTTTGTAAAAGCAACTTGAAATCCTCTTGATGTTATGTAAATTTTAGCTGTTCTTTTGCTGTATCTTTAATATTTTGTAAATTCCTCAGGGGTAGACTGCCTATCTTCTTCTTTCATTCACTCTCATTATCTAGAATATTCTTCGATGCTTAATAAGTATTATAAAGGTGGTGTGTAAGTACCCGTGAAGCACTTTTATAAATATACTTGCTTTTAAGTGACAGAGTAATTTAGGAAAAAGTTGATAAGTGCATGCATAAATGTGAAGGAGTCAGTGTACATGGCATTTTAGCACTTTACCCACAGGAAATGCATTTATGAGTAGCTTTAGTTTCTGTAACAATATTTGTTTTCTTAAAACTTGTAGATTGTGTTCTGTTCAGATAATTGGGCAAAAGTTTGGTTTTTTGTAAGCTGAGAGCCCTCACACACTAGAGCTTTCTGTAGTGGTTATAAATAACTTTTTATTATCTCACATGTAGTCTATTAGATTCCTAAAAATTTTACACTAATATACCATTAAATGGGGTTTCTTGACTCAAGGAACTAGAAGGGGTAAGTGTGGTAGCGTGCATGCTATCAGGTACTCTTCTCCTTTTGAAGGAAGTTGTAGAGTTTTTGTAGTTGTTGAGTTTTGAAACATTATTCTACTCTCTGAAGTTGTAATTAATAGGTCAACTACACCATCTAAGGAATTCACATTTTCACCTAGTGTGTCTTCAGGAGAAAGCCTTTTCCAGTTCTTCTCAGGTCTTTGAGGTTTCATTGGGAGCTAAAATATTTGAATTTATTTCCCACAAAATACTCTACAAAACAGGGTACTTAAAAAATTAGGATTCCTTAAAAATCTTTGTAATTAAGAAAGAACATTTTGAAAGGAAGAAAAGTTAGCAAGCAGAAAAAGAAGGCCAGTGTTAATAAAAGAAAATGACCCCATGAAGCACATTCATAGTTTGGGGGGTTCCCCCGGCGAGGGAAGTCCTGAACACATTGCTTCATAAGTTGTGTTTTAATTCATCCCCTTCAGCTTTATTAAAAGTCCCCTGAAGTGGACCATTATTTCAGAAATTACTTACCCTAAGCTTATTTTCTATTAAATTAAAACAGACTCTGCTTTATCCTTTATCTCTCTTCTAAGACTAATTAAGCTCATTAATAAAACATTATACAAAGAACTTCATTTTCCCTTTGTTCTCACTAAGTATGAGTAGGATGCTCATATCATTCTAAAAGGAGCCCAAGGATTTATTCTCTCCCTTTTAATTAGATGCATATCTTTGGAATTTTGCTAAATTTTTAAGGGTCGTGGGTAGAAGAAAAAGGGACTATAGAAAGTACTATATTCAACAGAATAAAATACACAAATCTTCCCTTTGGCCTTTCTTGTCTTACATTATAGCCTCATTACTTATGAACACCTCCAAGAAATTTATTTTTTAGAATAATAAGGGTTCTGAATTATCCTATGTAGCTTTCTGTATTCACTTTGTTTGGCAAATATGTTACCTTGTGTATCAGTCCGTTTCTGTTGCTTATAACAAAATACTTGAAACTGGGTGATTTATAAAGAAAACGAAATTTATTGCTTACAGTTTCTGAGGCTGGGAGTCCAAAGTCCAGGGTACACAGTTGGTGACGGTCTCGGTGGTGGTGACAGTGATGGCAGGGTATCACATTGTGAAAATGGTGGAACAGAGAGAGCAGAGGGAGAGAAAGACAGACTCTCCTTCTTAAAGCCCTCACAGCTACACCCCTGACCACCATGTTTAATCCATTCACTACTGCAGGGTCCTACAATCCAATCACCTCTTTAAGGCTCCACCTTTCAATTACCATAATAGGATTTCCCACCCTCTTAACAGTCACAGTGGGGGCTAAGTTTCTAATACATGAAACTCGGAGGACACAGTTCAAGCTTCAGTGAGTTTTGGGGGGACATAATTCAATCCACTACACCATCCATGGTCAGTCCCTCTCACTCCCACTTACATAGCATGGTGGGGTTCAGGGATCACACCACATTCCCTTTCTTTGGCTTTTGCCATTGTCTGATTGATTTAGCATTTATCACTAAGAAATTGGGCTGAGCCCGTGGCGCACTCGGGAGAGTGCGGCGCTGGGAAGCGCGGCAGCGCTCCCGCCGCTGGTTCAGGTCCTATATAGGGATGAGTGGTGTGCTCACAGTGCTCACTGGCTGCGGCCGGTCTCAAAAAGGACAAAAAAAAAAAAAAGAAAAAAAGAAAAGAAAAAGAAATTAAAAACCCATTTTTTTTTTCCCAAAATGAACAAGCAAGAAATATGAGGCTCTATGAATATTTGTTTAATGAATGAAATGCCCGCTGTTTTGTTTTGTGCCATTTCTAAACAATTTGAGCATGTGTCCAAAAGTAAACAATGACAGATTCTGAAAGTCATAACCTTAAGAAATTAGGAGCAAGCCACAATCACCTGAAATGTGTTCTGTGTGGTTCTTGACCCCTGTGATTTGGAAAGCTTTTGACTAAATAGCAATACTAAAATGGAGACATAGGAAAATAAACAAGGTTCCATGTTTCATCTGTGACAGAACCATAGACTTTCTGAATAAACGTCATCAGCTAGCATGGGAAAGTAGACCCTCAGAGAGAACTAACTCTCATTCCTAAATCAAAGCTTTATTCTGGAAATCACATAGAACATGTTTCTTTTAACTACTGCAATTGTTCAGTGCTTTTATATGCAGTATTTAATGCAGCTTCCTCAGCCTAAAATTTGGAAATAAACCAAAGCTTCATGTTGCATCTAAGGTGCACTCTAATTAAATGGCTAGCAACATGAAACCTTAATGTAGTTTTGGTAAATTTGCTTTCTTATTATATCTCAGACTACTGTTGCAGTTAAAATGATTGATTAGACTTAGGGCTAATACGATATTTTATTTACAATTATTCCTTTGTTATATCCGGTATTACAAAGTCCTTTTCAGTGCCCTGACTGTGACTCTTAGGTTAGAAAAAGATAGTTACCTGGCAAGATTTCAGCTCAAAATACACCTACGGAGAAGTGCATACATGTTAGCACAATGAATTTTCACAAAGCAAAGACTCCCATATAACCAGCTCCCAGTTCAAGAAACAGAACTTTATCATTACCCCAGAAAGCCCCACCCGCACCCCAAGAGAAACAAAAATCCTGACTTCAAACAGCATTGATCAGTTGTGCTATTTTTGAATTTATATGAAGTGGAATTTTGTGTGGCGTCTTTTACTCGATATGATATTTGTGAGAATCACAGGATGTTGTTTTATTACATAATGATCTCTTTTATCTATAATGCATCCCCCTTGAATGAAATAGTTCACTGTCTCTTTTTAGCCTTCTGATGAAGACACTGTTAGCCTCAATGTACCAATGTCAAATATCATGGAAGAGGAACAGATCATCAAGGAGGACTCGTGCCATCGCCTTAGCCCAGTTAAAGGTCTGAGAAGGAAAAGCACAGAGAAAGTGCTTGTTTTCAGTTTCCAATGTTATGTTTAAAATCACATGTTCACAATTATGGCAGTGATAATAGTGTTTACTGAGCAGTTCCCTATGCATCAGGCACTGTGTTCATTTGGAAAGGTGATCTCATTTAAAATTCAAAACTCTGAGATGGATACTCTAATCGTCTCTATTTTATAGGTGAGGAAACGGAGCCTCAGAGAGTTTAAGTAACTTGTCAGTGGTCACACAGCCAGTACTGCTTACTATAGTCAGTAGTAGAGCTAGTGTCATTCTAAGATTTATGGAAAATTCTTGAAGTTCATTCTTGGAAAGAGCATATTGATATGGTAGATATATTAGTTAGGACGATTCTAGCTGCTGTAACACATAAAATTCCCAAATCTCAGTGGCTTAACACAGTCTAAATTAAGTTCAAGCAGGAGTTACTAATTGGCAAACAAGTGTCCTCCAAGCACTGATGAAAGGACCCAAGCTCCTTTCATCCTGTGACTCTTGTGTCTTTAAACACAGGACTTGCAGAGTTTCCACGTTCATCTGTTTTAAGCCAGAAGAGAAAGAGCATAGAGTTTTGCTCATGGAGGTTTTTATGGGCTGGGCCTAGAAGGAGGGCCCTTCACCTATAAGCCAGCCTCCATCCATGGCCTCCACAGTAGGGCCGGAAATGTAGTTAAGATGTGTGTTTCATATCGTGGTGAGAAGCCCTGATTCAGTTACATTATGGCAGTATTTTGATTGCTCTTGTGTTCTCAATGACTTTTAAAGAAAATACTAAAACTTAGTGTTTAACTGATTTGTGGCAGAGACTATTCATGAGGTATGACTAGTATCTTACTAGGTTAATATGCAGATTATCTCCCTAGTAGTTTGAATGGGTTCTTATTAAAGATGGGAGAGCTAAACCAACTCAAACTTTAGTATTTGCTATCACTTTTTAGATTTATGTGTTTAAGTTTAGCATTTATGTTTACCTGAGGTTATGATTGGATCATGCATTGTCAAAATACATCTGTATATTCTATATACAAATATAATTTCCCCTCTGTTAATTCAGATAAACTTGGTAACATCATGCAGTATAGGAGGTAGTGTTTCAGGCAAATTTTTTAAGTAAAAGAATTCCATAAGTTGTTACCAGTGAGGTTTTTCTCCTCTGTTTTAGACGTGGTTGTCCTGCTGGCTCAGAGTGCTAAAAGTATGGCCCTATTTGGTCCTTTTTAGTCTTTGAATCAGTCAGAAGAGTCCTACATGGTGTTCCTCTGTCTGTCCTGCACTGTCTGGAACACATTTTAGTTGATGTGTTCTGCCTGAGCATGCTTTCGCCTCTGCGTGGCCTTTGTCGTGGTCACTTCTTCTGTCACTAGGATTTGCAGCTCTTGTCTCACCCCCTCCCACCTTCTTCCTTGAGATTATTTGCTGCTTAAGGACAGGAGTCCGATATAACTTATTTTTTAAATCTCTAAAATATTTAGCATAACACCTGCCATTTAATAGTTGCTCAATAAGTACTTGTTAGTTTTGAATTTGAAATATTTAGTCACCTAATACTGAGGGCACAGAGCCCTCTTTTATACTTTCTTTTTCTCCATTCCTTAGAAAAGTGAGAGGAAATTTTATTTCTTTCATAAGGAACTAAGCCATAAAAAGGCCTTCACTTTTTAGATTCAGTTTGGGACTTTTTCTTTTTCTTTATTTTTTACTTTTCTTCTCTCTCTCCTTTTTTAAATCACATCCTTCAGAGAAGAGAAAACTTGGGTCATTCATGTACCTTCTTAATAGATTAAGATAGAAGATTGAAACAATTAGATAACATATTTGAAGGTTGGCTGTGCTTTGCTCCTCTGTTCATGAACTCATGCTTCCTACCTTTCTCTGTATTTTCCTAATAGGGGAATTTCATCAGGAATTTCAACCAGAGCCGTCCCTTTTGGGTGTCAACGACAACTCAGGAGAAGAAAGAAACCAGTTTACTGATGGAGCAGATGTTCTCCATTCGGAATTTATGAAATATAAGGCAAGGTTTTGAGGACCAACTAATCTTTTCACTCATTTTCTTCTGTTTGGCACCTTAGAATTTAACTTCAAGGTTACCAATCCATCACCTTCAATGTCCGGTTTGCTGCAGCCTCCCTGAAGCCTTCGGAATGTCTTCTCAAAGCTCATGTGTCTATTTTCTGATGTTAGGGGCTGGTTCCTGCCATATGTGCCTCTCCATTTATCAGCTTATATATACAATTTTCTTTTGTATTCAGAAATTGCTCAGCTTTCTACTACTCAGCGTGTCATGCAAGTTAGCACACTTGTTAGAATCACTATCACTGCTCAGTAAAAGCTAAAAAGGAGTTTCACATTCTTTGCAGTGTGTTCTAGGTGAATGCTTTTCTTGGTAGTGAAAATATATCCACAGTGCAAAGAGAAAGTGGAGACTTTTAAAATTTGAAAATGAATGTCTTCCATTTTTGGAGAGGTCATGCCAAGGACACTTATTTTTGAACTGTTGTACTTTCCCTGAGGTGTTTAAAGGGCAGGTGAAATCGCTAAGTTGTCAAGCAAAACTTCATCACAGTAGCATCAACAGGACGAGAGAAAAACTAGCCCTTTAGTGCAGCAGGTAGTTAAGAGTCCCCTTCATGAAACAATTAGGTGCTTTTGGTTCAGGTTGTGGCACACAAGAATCATGAGGATTACTGTTTTGGTAAAATTCAGTTTCACTGTGGCTTATGAGAGACGGTAGTCTCTGAGTTCCTCTATTTAAGCCAAGAATGGGCTCTCTAAGTGCTCATCCTTACTTTCTGAAGATTGTGTCATGGTGGCTGGACCCAGCCCAAACTAACATCTCTGAGCATCACCTTCAAGGAAACAGGGAGGAAATCAGCTGAATTTTACATTGTATGAGATCCCAGTGTGCTCAGGACATCTTTATGTCCTCAAGACAAAATAATGAACCTGATATATGTTTGTAGAAAACCATCTAAAATGATTACCAAAGTTGTACAGAAGGATAAAACTCAGAATTCCTTCTTTGCTCTCTGTATCTAATTTGTCATTAATCCATCAATTCTTGTTTCAAAATTTCTCACACCCATTGCCTCACTTCTGTCCTCATCCGCATTGACATTGTTTCGATTGAGCCTCATTTCTCACTCTGATGACTGCAGGCATCCCCCACCCCCTCTCAACTTCTCACCCCAAACCACGCCCCCGTGCATGTGTGCATACCCATGCACACGCACGTACACACATGCACACTTTATATCCTGCCACCAGACATTTTCCTAAAGTACAAATTTAATCACATTACTCTCAGATCGGTGGTTCTCAAAGGGCTCTCCCAGATGTAACCCCTGTCTTATCAGCTCTGTGGGACAATTCTGTCAAAAAAAACTTGGAAAATTGGAGTTTTATCTTTCTTCAAGAGGTCATCTTAAGTTGAGAATCTGAAGTAAAGATGGAAACCCTGAAGAATGTGTTCTGAAAGAAAAAAAAGTGATTAGTAAAATAAAGCATATTGTTTCAAAAAAGCAGATTTCCCTAGATTCAGAGATTTCAGGAAGCAAAAGACTTTGTGGAAGTGGCTGCTGTACAGAAAGGATCCTGTGGGCAGAGGCTAGAGGAGCATATAGGAATATGGAAGTCAACTTGTCAAATGCTTCCTGGAAGATACTTCTTTTGGAAAGTCAAGAAAAGAATGCTAATAACAAAATAAAACCTGAATCAGCAAGTTCAAGGAAAAATCATACATTGAAAATCATGCTCATATTAGGCTTGATTTCCAACACTGTAAAAGCCTGTGAGTATGTGCTTGATGGCAGCAAATATGCCGAACCACTCAGGACCCTGGCCATCTACTGTTCTGTTTTTTTTTTATAAATTTTTATTTTGTCAATATACAATGTATATGATTATTATGGCCCATCACCGTTGATTTTTATAAATTTTTATTTTGTCAATATACAATGTATATGATTATTATGGCCCATCACCGTACTGTTCTGTTTTCCATGATCCTATTTCCTTTACTGAACTAGCATCTTGTACTTTGGTAACTACAGTCAATTTTCATTATTCATGGTAATTCTGTTGTATAAAGTCACCATGCTTATTGACTTATCCAATTCTGAGCTTTTGCTCCTAGGTGAAATACAGGGTAGGTTCCTGTAAGTCTCTGGTCATAACATTTTTGTCAAACCAGTCAACACATAACGTTATTTTGTATGTGTTTCTGTCTAAAGACACCTCATTTAGTATATATTGTTGATTCATTAAGATTGAACTGATAGCCAGCAGAACTAACCCATGCCTAAAGAAGGCCTTTCTAATCCACTTATTTTGTCCATAAGGCACGTTGCAGTCTTCTTGGGTTTAGGAACATTAGCCAGCACTTTAGCAAAATCACCAACAAAAAGCACAAAAGTGTGAAAATGTGGCACTCAATAGACTGTGAGAAGGACACTTGCTTACAGTCCGTCAGCTAAAGCAGGAAGGCAGAGCCCTGCTTATTCCACTTTGGCTGGGGACGTGCACATCCCGGAACTCAAATCTTTCACCACTCTGCATATGTGTGCGAATGACCTCAAAAGTACCAAGAGTGCAGGTTTGGGGGCTACAAATAAAATTTAGTGGGTAGGAAAATTTGCAAATATGGAAACCACCACTAGTGAGGATCAATTCTATAGCCATCTAGCTTAGCAAAAGAAACCCAGTAAGCCTATTTTGCATGCTGAAAAAAAAAAAAAACTAGATGTTTTATACTACTGGCCACTTTTTGTTTTGAAAATGAAAATAGACGAAATACCCATGGCTCTTATAGTTGAAACCCAACAGGAATAGATAAGAACATGTTATGTTGGTTATTTCTGGTAGTATATTTTCACCCATGAGGTTTGCTATCATTTGGAGTGGGACACAGTAATTTATATGTTAACATTATTATACACTAAGAGTTTAATCAGTATAGAAAAAGTCTTGAGTGTTTTTTGAGCCAGAAGCCAGCATTGGGCAGCAAACCACCTCCTCAGGAAAAGTCTCATCCTAATGGAGAATTGGCTGGTCCTGGCGGAATTAGTGATGTGCCAGAACCTTGACACAGAAAACAGTCCTGTTGTCTGTTGTTCCTTCCTTGCCAGGGAAATGTAGCTCCATTCAGGGGTGGCTTCCGTTCTAGCTGTCAGCTCAGTTAAGGCAGCCTTTCTCTGTGTCAAAGATGAAAGTGCAAAGAAGCACGTGAAAGACCCCGGCAGGACACCTTTCCCAGTATTCACTCCCATTGCACTGTCTTTTTGGGAAAAACTGGGATGGGGGCTTGGGGAGAACATTTGAGTGAATTCTGGGTATTGTACACATGAAAACTATTAGATGCAGTTTGCAGCATTTTTCTGTTAAGTCCTTTATACTTTCTTTTGTCCTAACAACACACATGCCCGTCCTCTCACAAACACCAGCATGCCCATTTACATGTGACTCCCTAGCTCCAGGGGAAGGATCTGTCAACACAAGGAGGGTGCTCAGAGGGCAATTAGGACTTCAGCCACACTTTAGATTTCTGATGCTAAGTTAAGATACTGTAGTCCTGCACCAAGTTGTTTTTGTGTTGTTTGTGGTCGTTTTTAAATTTTTAATTGTGGTTAAATACATGTAAAATCTATCATCTTAGCCATTAGCCACTTTTTAAGCATATAGTTCAGTAGTGTTGGGCACATTCACATTGTTGTGCTACCAATCTCCAGAACTCTTCTCATCTTGCACAGCTGAAACTCTGCACCCATTAAACAACAACTCCCCATTCCTTCTCCCACCAGCCCCTGGCAGCCACCATTCTAAATTCTGTCTCAATGAATTTGACCACTCTCGGTATCTCACATGAGTGGAATCATCCAGAATTTGTCTTTTTGTGACTGGCTTATTTCACATAGCATCATGTCCTTGAATTTCATCCATCTGTATAGCATGGGTGAGAATTTCCTCCTTTTTAAGGCTGAATAATATTCCATTGTGTATGTGTGTACCTCATTTGGTTTATCTGTTCATTCATCGATGGACACTTGGCATTCTTCAGCTTTTTGGCTGTTGTGAGTGACGCTGCCATAAACGTGGGCTGGGGTGGGTTTTGACTCGACTGCTGACTAGCCAGTGGTTCTCAGAAAGCCCGTGTGTTCTGTCCACAGGGCAGGGCCGAACACTGTGAAGAGCTGTTACGGATAGAAGAGGACACGCACTGGCAGGCTGAGGGAGTGTGAGTACCGAGCCTGGTGATGAGCCTCCAACCCTGCGAAGTTCACTGTTCATGCAGACAGATGGGGAGCCCTGTTGTGATAGAATTTTGATTTGCTTTTCTTTGGGCAAGCTGATTTTCTTATCCACCAATATTGATAAGAAATTGTCAGTTTTCCTCTGTCCGATGCTTATTGTCACAGTGTTGGGCAATACAGTGCAAGGTCACACCTCCTTGTTGGCCTCGAGTTTTATCTAATTTGAGGCTGTGGGTAGAAATGTGATTCAGGGAATTAGCTAGAATTTCTAGACTGGAGAGTCTGCTTTCCTTCTGTTTGCCTGAAGAGGCCAACGACTGGCCTAAAGTGGTCTGTCGTGCTGGTCCCCTTCTTTACCCAGAGTCTTTCAATTTGAGATTTGAGAAAACCATAACCCTAATACTCTGGTCCCAAGTCTAATAACTGTCATAGCTAACATTTATTAAATAGCACGTTCCAGGCACCATCCTAAATACTTTATAGGTCATAACTCATCTCATCTTTACAACAATCCTATGAGATAAGTTCTGCTGTCCCCCATTTCATAGGTGACAAAACTGAGGCACAGAGAGATTGCTGATCTTGCCCAAAAGTCACAGAGGGCCGGCATTTGAACTCAAGGAATCTTGCCCCAGACAGCAAGAACCTAGATGGTATTCATGTTTTAGTGATCATTTTGATTCTCATGCTTATTTCATGTTACAGAATAAGTTCATCCAAAGATCAGGACGTGGATATAGCGATGATTGAGCAGCTCAGAGAAGCCGTAGATTTGCTCCAAGATCCCAATGGGTACGTGTGTCTTTCCTGGGCTCAGGTTTCATGTATAAATAATGCGTACTAATTTATTGAGTACATTATCTCAATTTAGAAAATATTTCTATACACAATTTAGGCTCAGTCTAACCACTAACAAAGAAAAGTCATTTTAATTGCCTGTTTTTCCAAGATCCAAAAGTAAAAGAGTCAAAATTCTAGAGGGATTGAGATCAAGTTCCCCTTTCTCTCACCCTAATGAAATTTATTCACTTCTTATGAAATCCATATACCTCTCATGAAATTCATATACCTCTCATGAAATTCATATGGAAATTTCTGGTATAATTCTTAGAAAACAGAAATATGGTAAAAGTGCATATTTTATAATGCTTAAAGTTTAAACCCCTGATTTATACACATACAAGGAAAGGAAAGAATTGGTGTATTAAGTACTACTATATTTATTTCTGGTGGTGCCAAATATATGTTAACTAAATACTATGTTTCTAAAAATTTGGGTTACAGGATAATTCTTAAAATTTGAATTGGCCAGTTTCGGTAATAGGCACTACATGCGGTGGATATATTTTTTGATTTCTTAGCTAAGGATATGGAATTCCCATGAACAAAATATTTTTCTGTAAGACAATATCAGGTATATAACTACATGATCACTAGAGAAATAGATCCAAAGCTTATTCCTGGTAAACTGTTCGGGAATCTTGGATATTTAAATATGAATTATAATATGGTGAACATGGGAATCACATCACAGAAACCTTAGCTGGGATCTGGGAATTTATGAAAATGGTGGTTAGTGAATCCGAGAGAGCCAGTGAAAATACACCACCAATGTCATCTGGCCCTGAAAGAATAGTGGTGGGTCAAGTTGAGTATTACTGAACATCTTTTGCAATTGATTTGAAAAGCATTTCAGTTCTGCAGACATTGAGTGCTTAGAGCATGGGAAGAGCTACAGTGTGCACTTTGGGGGATATAAAGATGAATGAGACACAGCTCTTGCCTTCTGAGAACTTAAGTTACAGTAGCTAGAGATTGCCTTGAGCAGTTATTTATAAGTGTAATTGATTTAAGTGCTTGAAGTAGACGTAAAAAGTGATAAACTCGAGGGAGTGCCTAACCCAAGTAAAGTGGAGATGGCTGGGCTGGCCTTCCTGAAGCACAGGATATTTAACCTGGGTCTTTAATGACTGGCAGTTTCAAGGAGAAAGCAAGTTCTGGATTGAACGAAAAGCTTAGGCAAAGGCATGGAGGTCAGAAAGCACGGGGCCCGCTTGGGAAATCTCATGCAGAGCAGTGGTTCTCCACCCTGGCATGCTTCAGTATCACCTGTGGAACTTTTTCAAAACAGACAGTAGGCATCAGCCATGGGGCTGGGGGTGGGCCAGTCTTCCAATGTGCAGCCAGGACTGAGAGTCACCAGAGAGGCAGTGCAAGTGATGCAGGGGACAGCTTCGGATGCTGTGTGATAGATCTCAGATTTTATTTTATATAAAGCTAGTGACGGTTTTTGAACATGATTATTCATGTTATTAATTTTCCTTAACGTTTGGTACAAGGCCTGGCTTAACAGGCACCTAATCAAGGTATGTTCAGAGAGCTGAATTCCACATCCTAAACCAGGGCGGTTAGTGAGAGAGGACAAGAGAGCCTGTATGTTTGTGTGTACGTGCATGCATGTGTGCATGTGATTGTGCATGTGTGCGTGTGTTGATTACAATGAGTCAGGAATTAGCATGGCTGGTGGAAAGAACAGACTTTGAATCAGGCGGGAACTGGTTCCGACCCCAGCTCAATCATCAGTTAACTTGGGTAGGTTATACGACTTCTCTGCACCCTTGCTCATTCCTCATCTATAAGATGGGGTTACAAGTACTTACCTTTTAGGGTTATAAGGATTGGAAATGATATATGAACTGCTACTGGGAAGATAAATTGGCAAAACCATTCCAGAAGTCATCTTAGTAGTATGTAACGAAAGTCTAAAAAATATATAAACCTTTTGAATGAATTCTAAGAGTTTATCCTAAGAGACAAAGAGACATGAACAAAGATTTGGGGGCGGGGGTAGAGGATGGGTATTTTTAACAGCAAAGATTTGGAAAAAAGGAAATTATCTAACAATTGGGAATACTTTACATATATTATGATCATTGATAAGATGGAATATGATTGGCCGATAAAATGTTTTTTAAAGTTTCCAGTGATGTTATAAAATGCTCATTATATAATGTTAACTTTTAAAAAGTATATGAAAATGCATAAATTTTGATCCCAATTACATAGATAGAATTAAGTCCTGATTGTGTAAGAAACTTAGAAAAAACTAAAACTGGAAGGAACTATATTAAGATGGATGTTTTTCTGTGAGTATTTCTAAGTTATTCTTTTTCTTTATACCTTTATATATTGTAGATACTCAGTGGTAGGTACTGTTGTTCTTTGGTGATCATTTGAAAATGGGTGGTAAGAGGGATGGGAGGGAGAGTCCAAGGTGTTTTAGACCTGAGCCCGTGGTATCTCATTATCAGAGATAGGGAACCCGGAGGTGTGGCAATTTGAGGAGGGAGATATTGGATTCTGTGTCAGACATGCTGAATAGAATTCAAGGAGCCATTATAGTAATGCCCATTGAGCTGCTAGACGTTTAGTTCTGGGGCTTGGAGACTTAGATTTGAAAATCATTTTCATAAGGTGCTACAGTAACAGCTGGCTAAAAGAATGAGGTTCCCAAGGGCAAGCATGTGGATGAGATGGGAGTAAGTCCAGTCTAGAGCCTTTAAGACCTGATGTGACAGAAAGAGGACCCCGGGTGGACTCGATCTGTATATTTTCTATCTTTTATGATTTTGTATCACCTTTCCAATACTTTTCTTACAAAGTCTAGATTGATTAATACATGAGACCCAAATCAAGTTTGGTGGAAATAGCAGTGGCATGGGAATATGGTACTAGAAGCCAGTAGTAAGAGATGAGGGATCTGGAGAAAGTGACTCCTTGTCCTGGGCCTCCGTTTGATCATCTTCTATTGAGAAGTGGGTTGAACTGAGCATCTCTAAACTCTTCTCCAGCTCTGAAACATCTGAGGCAGTGAGATGCTGAGGATGTCGAGTGAGTTGGGATGAGAGGTGCATGCCGCATTGTGGAAGAACACATCCCCGAGGAACCTTCCAAGTGATATTTGACTGGGCTGGCCAGTTAGCTCAGTTGGCTAGAGCACAGCCTTGTAACACCAAGGTCATGGGTTCAGACCTAAGGATGTCGAGTGAGTCGGGATGAGAGGTGCATGCCGCATTGTGGAAGAACACATCCCCGAGGAACCTTCCAAGTGATATTTGACTGGGCCGGCCAGTTAGCTCAGTTGGCTAGAGCACAGCCTTGTAACACCAAGGTCATGGGTTCAGACCCCTGTACCAGCCAGCCACAAAAAAAAGGAACTCCAAGTGATATTTGATTTGCATCTTTAAGGAGGGCTATTTAAAAATTATATTATGTTGTAAAGCTTTATATGGATCTCATTTCCTCCCTAAAATAATCCATTTTTTTGGCTCTTTTAGATCTTTATTGCTTATCCTGAAATAATTAGTATAATATGACAAGTCTAATTTCATAATATTTCTGTGAGCCAGTGTAATAGTAATAAAGAAAGAGCCCTGGTTTTGCTTCTGATAAAGAGAGAGCACTTCAAGAGGTTATTTATTTCTAGCTGCTTGGGACCAAAAATTAGTAATAAAAAAGTTTATCTACACATTGGGTGTTTATCTTGTATCGATCCAGGTTTTTTGTTGTTGTTATTTGTTTTTCAGTTAAGCCACTGATTGGATTAAATTTTAGAGGTTTACCTTTTATACATCAGAAAATTTCATTGAATATCAATGTCCTGTTTTACCTTTATTTTGGTTTCTTTTCTCAAGACCTTTTAATCGTTAGTTTGAGGGCATTTTCATAGGCATGTATAATATGAACTCATCCCTACCCTTTAAGATGGCTTTATAACTTTTACATAACCTACAGAAATTCCTGGCTTTACAGATCTTGGGGGAAAAGAAAAAAAAAAAAAAAACTTCTTGAAATTGCAGAAATTCAGAAACTATATGTAAGATGATTTCAAAGTATCCAATTGCTTATGAATTTTTATTTTTTAAATGGGGGTATTATATTAGTGTATATCAGAGAGATCTTATTAAAACCAAATAATGCTGGTAGATATACTATAATGTAGTACTCTTAGCAACTTTACTTGCTTCTTTAAATTAATAAAGTTCTAGAATAAAATTTAGTATATGTTACCTATGAAAATTATGATTTTATTGGCAATTACTATTATATTGCAAATAAGTTAGATTTCAATACCAATAGCACATGGAAATTTTTATATTGGCAATTGGGGGGAAATATTATGCAGTTTGAAATTTCTATCACAATCTTTCATTACTTCATTCTAAAAATAAACATAACTTTTACATTTATTGTTTTAAAACTAAATATGACCAAATATGACCAATAGATTTTTTATTAAAAATAAAAATTTAATAAATCTACTAACATCTTTCCCCCCCCCACCCTTTAGATTAAACACAGATATTACAGAAAGAAGTGTTTTAAACTTATATCCTATGGGATCAGCAGACGCTTTAGAATTGCAAGACGCTGCACTAAAGTATGTTTCCCTTTTTTATAACAAAGTCTATTTTCACTTTCTACATTGAAGTGTACTTATGCTTTAACTACCACTTTATATCTTTTTTTTACACTTCTTGTTCCTATAGTGGTCAAGTACAGCTGGAAACATCTCCAGTGAATGAGGTAAGGCTGCTCCTGGATGAACTAGAGCTCTGTGCAAAGCTCTGCCACGGAATATTGGCCACCATATTCTGTAAAGATTTGTCAGGGGGTAAAGCATTTTTATTAGTGAAGCCAATATTCAAATTTGTTCAAGACACATTTTTCAACTTTTTTATACTTTTACCCTCTTTAGTTCTGCTTATCTATCATACCTCTCCTTCTATTAAAGATGAGAGTTGGCTATTTCCATTAGATTCTCTATGTCTGATAGTCTTGCTGAATCAGGCAATAGATACATAGGGAACTGCTGTGTCAGAAAACTGGAGCGAGGACCATTCAGTGCAGCTTTTAGAGCCAAGAAAGAAGTCTATGAAATGGCCAGATGAAAATAAACTAGAAAAGATCTGAAAGACAAGAGCAAATGATTTGGGAATGTCTAGGAGGATTATAACGAGAAATTGGTGAGAGTATTTGGGGGCAGGGTGAGAGTAGGTTAGGTAGAGTTACTTGGGGTGAAATTTCTATTTTTTTGAGAAAGCAGTTTTGACATAAAACTAGAGATGAGCTTAGAAAATCCAAAAGAAATATTGTTACCCCAGTTGTAGAGAGATAGGTTTGAGTTGATAGCTTGGGAGTGAAACTTAGGTTATAACCTATTTTGTTCCTTCTTAGTGAGTGGGCTTAGATGGCTAATTTAGGTACAAGATTGTGTACAAAGTAATTTTTGCCCCTGAGGTGTCTGCACATGTACTATATAGTAAAGCAATTTCACCATCTTAAGTAGCTAAGTCTCTGTGTTAAAGAAATAATGAACAAAGAACTATAAAAGGAAAAGCCACATTCCCAGAGAGTATAGTTTTATTTTTAAGCGCAGCTATTTGGAATTATGTTAGGTATCAATCCCATCTCAAAGACTTGCTAACTATGGGCAAGGTAATTAACCTCTCTCAACTTGACTTTCATTTTCTGTAAATTGGGATCAAAATAGTACCTATTGTAAAGATCTAATGAGATGATTCAAGAAAGGGCACAACATAGGGTACCTGAGCTAGCTGTTGTTCTACTTCTGTGTTGTTGTTGGTGGCAGTGTGGTCTTTAGACAGAAGCACTGCTTCATTTCTTCCCTGGGTGGAGGCACCATTGAATTTCCCAATAGTGGAACATCAGGAGGCCCTGTATTTGCAGGCCTCCCTGGACCTGTTTCACCAAGATTGATTTTGGTTCTGTACAGACTCACTTTTTCTTTTAGCTTCTTATTTGGACATAATTTTATAAAAACAATTACAAGTCTCTACCAAAGGTTGTGAGAAATTACAATCTTAAGTCCAGATTTGCCAATTATTAACATTTTACCACATTTGCTATATTATTTGTCCTCTTTCTCTCTCTTTTTCTTCTTCCACACACACATAGTTCTTTTTCTGAAATATTTGAGGGTAAGTTTCATACATCATAGTCTTTTACCCCTAAACATTCCAGTGTGTGTTTTCTACCACATTTCAGTTATCAACTTCATAAATTTTCATTAATAACATATTTCCACCTGGTCTACCATCCATGCTCCGAATTCATCAGTTGATCTAATGATGCTCTTTAGAACATTTCTTTTCCTTCCACTGTAGGATTCAGTGTAGTAGCAAGTATTGCATTTGGTTGTCAGGTATCTCCAGCCTCCTTTAATCTGGAACATTTCTACAACCTTTCTTTGATTTTTATGACCTTGAAATTTTGAACACAGGCCTCTCCCTTTTCTAATGGAATGCCTCTCATTTTATGTTTGTCTGATGTTTTCTCATGATTAGGTTGAGGTTCCGCATTCTTATTTGCAATACTACTAGGTGATATTGTGTCTTTGTCAGCATATCACATTTAGGGGCATAGTGTGTTCTTCTGTGCCTCAATGGTGGTGTTAATGTGTTCACCCAGTTGGGGTGTAACC